GACGCTAAGCCTGCTTTGAGGCCCTCTGAGTCCCAGTGTTGGTGTCTGTACATGGAGGCATCGGAAGCTTACCTCTTTCCTGGGTCCTCTGGGAAGTGGAGAACCTGAGAATCTGATGGAACGGCACCAGGAAAGACCCCATCACAGCCTGTACTCCGTGGATGCCCTGCCTTGTGGCTTGTTAAGATCCCAGAAGCTGCAGAAGCAATGAGTTCTCTCCCTTTTCTTTCCCACCCCACCCCCAGCTTCCTTGCCCCAGGCTTTCCCCCAACACAGAGACAACCCCACCACAACTCTCTCTCTCTCTCTCTCTCTCTCTCTCTCACACACACACACACACACACACACACACACACACACACACACACGAGCACTTGCAGCCCCTGGAACAGGATAGGCTCTGTGGGCTTGTCCTAGAAGAACCCATGTTATCTCTATAACATCTGTCCTGTTCCCCCAAGCAGATAGATAGCATGTGCCTCTTGTGGAACTGTGCCCATCATGCCATCAGACAACAGGGTTGACCTTCCTCGGTAATGCGCCCCCACGACCATATTGAGAACACCAGATACATGCTCACGTTTGCCGTATGGGTTTACCCTGACCTGATGTTGGGCCGACAGACATGCCTTCCAACCACCCCACCTGGGCCTCTCCACCCTTGCCACAAGCTCCCTCCACATAGGCTTCCTAGCCACAGAAATGAAAACCAGACGCCCCAGGGCCTCCCAGGTTCTTCCTCAGCAGGGAACTGGCATCCACGGGCCACTGGCTCAGGCCAGGATGTCCTCTGGGCCAGTTGGGAGGCCGCAGACTACACACTGGTCAGCTGTCCAGGCTCTGCAGCATCTGGGGCTGTGCACAGCTGCTCTCTGCCCCCAGCTCTGCCCACAGTTGGAGGCAGGTCCCCAAGCTGGGCTGGCACATGGGGGCTGGCCAGTGACCTGTCTTAAACTGCCTGCCTTTGGTTTGATGACTCAGGAAGAAATGGAGCCCCACCCCATGGTCTTGGGCATCGGGGCTGCTCTGTGGTGGACTTGCCTCCCAAAAATGTTTTCTTTCCAAATTTTTGGTCATTCCAGTAATAGCTTCTATGAGTCTCTGATCCTAAATTCATCTTGAATGTATTTCTTAATATATTTTTTAAAACACATTCATTCTTTTTTACTGAAGCTTAATTTTTTCTTTTAAATTTTATTTATTTATATTTTGAGGGAGCCTGTGGGAGGGTGTGTGGAAGCAAGGACAGCCACTGGATTTGGTTCTTTTCTTCCACAACATGAATCCCAAAATCAAACTCAGGTCTTCAGACTTGGAGCCACCGCAACAAATTTAATTGCTTACGATTTATTTAAGTAGCTCAATGTGGTGGCGCATGCCTTTAATCCCAGCACTCGGGAGGCAGAGGCAGGCAGATCTCTGTGAGTTCTAGGCCAGCCTGGTCTACATAGGGAGTTTCAGGACAGCCAAGGCATAGAAAGAGACCTTGTCTCAATTACCCAATTAATTAATTAAGAAATCATAAGTTTTTTGATAGTCACAAGTTTGACTTATGACTTCAGTACTGGGGATCAAATCCAGGGCCCTTCACATGCTAGGCAAGTGCTCTGCTACTGAGCAATACCCCAGCTGACTGTGACTTTGTCACCATGAACAAGGCAGGTGTTACGGGTGGGCCATCAACCATGTTGTCCTAGGAAGACAATAACCTATATGGAAACCCCAAGCCCCTGCCTCTCAAAGCTCTGAGACAGCACAGCCTGATCTTGTCTGAGCTACCCTAGCTACAAGAACACCAGGGCCTCCAAGATCAAGAGAGTTCATGGGGATCCAGGCTCTGACTTCCTTGCATTTGTGAGCACCCAGAGGTCCTCATTTATGCTTGCCCAGAGTGGCTTCCTCAGGAGCAGAGTTAGAAGTCAAGGTTGACAGCAACCACACACATCAGCCAGCACTTTATGACTGCAGAGTCCATACGAGTACAAAGAACGGAGCAGAGAATGATGCTGAGAGCCTCTGGATGTTGCTAGCAATACTCAGAGAAACTCTGGCTTCATGCTTCCCAGGGGCTGGGCTCTGAGGCAACTTAGGCAGCCTCAGTGGGGACTGGCACTGAGAGGAGGCAGAGTGCCCTTTCCCACCCTCTGTCATCAGGACTGAGGGCCCTGGTGCCCAGGGTCTTCCTCTCCTGCATACCGGCTGACTTCTGCAGATGGGGTTTGTACCTTTGGAAAGATGACAGAGCCCAGATGGCATTTCAGAATGGTTGTAACAGGCCATAATGTGGCCTCCCACCCCTTGGGCATGCACAGGACTTGGCAAAGGTGTCTTTGAACAGGAGGGAAGTTTATCTTGATGCTCTGTGACAGTGAATGTCAATTGCCAACTTGACAAGATGGAGACTCTCCTGGGGGATGAGCCCAGGTGGCTAGGTTAACTGAGGTGGAGACCTGCCCACCATGGGAGGCTCTATCCCCTAGGCTGGGATTCTGAAGAAGTGTTCGAAAGGAACGAGAGCAGAGCACAAACACCCGTTGCTCGCTTCATCTTGACTCTGAATGGATGTGACTGTTGTCCCCCATTCCTGCTGCCAGGGCTTCTCTGAGATGGTGGACTGTCCCTGGAAACTCGAGTAAAAATTAATCCTCTTTGTTTTAAATTGACTTTGCCGAATTATTTTATCACAGCAACAGGAACTGTAACAAGGGGGGAAATGTTGCTGAGAAGTTAGGATGCCCCTGTGGAAAGCCCAGCCATGCGGCTCTTGGGCTCTCAGGGACTGTTTTGTGGAAGCGATGTGGAAGAGTTTGGAAGTTTGGAACTCAGGGCTGAAAAGCACCAAAACGCTGGGAGCATGACGGGGGCGGTTCTTCTGTGTGTATGCTGCACTGTTAGTTAATAAGTAAAGCACTGTCGGCCAGTAGGGAAGCAAGATAGGCGGGACCAGGTGTCCAGGAAGATTCTAGAAAATATAGTCAAGGATGGAGAGTCGCCATGTGATCCCGGGAAGAGAGGACGCATGAGGCTGCATCCTCAGTAAGATAAGACCTTATAGAAATATATACTAGTAATTAGGGGTTAATAATTAAGTCAGAGCTAGCCATTAAGAAAACATAGCAAACGGCCAGCAGCTTCATAATTAATATTGTGTCCGGCGTGTTCATTTGGGACTGACGCGGCTCGGGGGCCAGGCTGACGGGAAGAATCACATTGCAGAAGCATATTAGTGGGGCATTCTGATGGGTACTTAGAAGAGAATGCTATGAGACATTTGTGTGCTGGAGGCATGAACTAGTGAGGTAGGAGAGGGAAAGGAGGGTTCTATGAGGAACGGGCATAGGGGATGGCCTCATGATATTGTGACCAAGAATCTGACTTTTATGTAGTGAAAATGTGAGAGAAGCTGATGACTAATTTGTTCAGCAGAAGAAAATCTGAGAGGTGAACACGGTCCTGCTGCTGCTGAGAAAGCAACTGCCGGTGTTAGAGAGGTCAAGTCCCCAGCACCACACTGGGACAGGATGGGCATCCTCAGGGAAAACCACCCAAGGGAGACTCCATCTTGTTTATAGTCAGATTCCTTTAAATAAGGAAGCCTAACAAGGGGTTCCCTGTCACTCAAAGGCATTGACTCGGGAAGTGTTCCCCCAGGGTCAGCATATAGAAGCTAATACCACTGTGGCCCAGGGAGAGCCTGGCTACATCTGTCTGGCAGCAGAGTCTGCCAATGTCATCCTTTGGTACTGGTTTTGCAGGCACCAGAGACTCGAGATTGAGGCGATTATGGAGAACATCTGAGACCAGGAAATATCTGACAGGGCCAGAGCACCTGAAAGGAGGCCACAAGAAGGCAAGTGTAAAGTCAAGAAGGAGAGATCTAAGAATGCAGACCCCAGGGCATAGAGGACGCCATGGCTGTGAGTTGGCCACCAAGAAAACGAGGAGGCATGCAGGGGAGCCAGCTCGCCTGAGAGGGAGGCTCTGCGTGCTGCACACCGCAGAATTGGAGGGATGGGATTACCTAAGCCTTGTCTCCACTCCCTAGAGGCTCGACAAGGAACTACAGGATTCGTCTTGCTTTGGTCTGAAAAATCCTTACTATACACCAATGCTCCCTGTCGCCCTTTATTTTGAGAAAGGGTTTCTCCATGTAGGTCTACTGTTTTGGAACTTGTTCTGTAGACCGGGCCAGCCTTGACCTTACAGAGATCCGCCTGCCTGTGTAGTGTCATCCTGCTTTGCCACTGAACTTGGGGTGGTGGCCACACCCTATGGGTGTGGTTTCAGGTGTTCAGATGTGACCTAGGTAGAGGAGGGACAGGCTCACTGGCCCAGTGAACGCAGGGAGGCTGGTGCTGTTGGCTCTGGTTCATAGAATGCCACTGCCGGCCAGACGCATGGGCTGATTGTGGGAATCGCCTCATGTTGGTCACCAATGAAGGCAGTGTTTACATGAGTCCACCAGACCCAAGATAAATGATAATTAGGTATTTACTAGGGAAGCACTTACACAAATAAAAAGTAAACAGCCGCTGCAGTTCTCCTGCTCCAGAAGATGCAGTCTCTGCCCTTCTGATGCTCTCACTGCAACCCAGGAGAGTGAGCCAACCCCTCCTCTACCTTATAAGGGGTCATGTGTGCACACCTGAAGCCACACCCATAGGGTGTGGCCACCACCACAAGTTCACTGACAAAGTAAGATGCCACTACATGCCTCTGCCTCCTGAGTACTGGAATTAAAGACTTGAACCACCACCCTTGGCTAATGCTTCTCTTTGGAAATTAGGAATGTTTACTCTGCCATCATATGTTAGAAATACGTAACGTTTATTATTATTGTTGTTGTTGTTGTATGTGTGCTGTGCCCGGGAGTGCATACCACCATGCACCTGTGGAGATCAGAGGACAGCTTTGTGACACTGGTTCTCTCCTTCAGTCTTTACGCAGGTTCTTGGGGTCAGACGTAGGCTTTGTGCAGCGTCATCTTACTGGTTTCTTGTTTTGTGTCATATAGGAGTTCGCACTTCAAGACTGCTTCAGGTCCCAGACGAGACACAGACTAAAAGTGTTGGAGGTGGTGTAGACTTTTGATTGTATTTTGCATTCTGAGATAAACATGAGAATGGGGGGGGACAACAGAAGCAAAATTATGATTAAATGATGTGTTTGGGTAACAGCTTGACAAGGCGTGGAGTTAGGATGGCTAATTTCAGTTTTCAAGTTAAGATCTAGAATTATCTGGGAGTTGGGCTTCTGGGCCTGTCTATAGGGGGTTATCTTATTTAGGTTGAGTAAGATGGGAAGACCTACCTACTGTGGACAGCACCATTCCCTAGGCCTGGGCTCTGGGCCCTATGAATGGGAGAAAGTGAGCTGAGCACCAGGATCCATGGCTTCCTGACGTTGGACACGCCATGACCGGCTCTTCAAGGCCAGGCCACCTTCACCCCCTCCCTGTGATGGACTGTGCCCTGAGACAACATAATAACCCCTTTCTCCCTTGAGCGGTTTCTGTCAAAGCCTTTTGTCACAGCAATAGTAACTAATACACAGCCTGACCTCACCACAAGAACCTTTTAAAGGAGGCGAGGGGTCGGGCTTGCTGCTTTGCTGTCTTAGGGGATACGAATGGTTTGTGCATGTTCACACGGTGGGGAACTCTTAGTGGCCTTTAGGAGCCTGCTGTCAGCTAAATGAGCTAGAGACTGTCACTCTGCTCCAACCAACTCCAGACACTGACCAGCATTTAGAAGGGACCCAGGAGTGGGTAGAATGTTAGCTCAGCTGACCCAGTGCTTGCAGCTTGAAGACTATTCATGCGAGCCTGGCTTGCTCCCAGTCCATCCATGCTGTAGAATCTGTTGGTGTGGATGTCGTGGTCGCTTTCCTTCTGAGGCAGAGAGTTCTGCTCCGCTAATGTAAATGGTCCTCTGATTACAAGGGGCTACTCAGAACTGACACGTCCCCACCCTTCCCCCCTACCTCTCCCTCCCCCTCCCCTCCCCTCCCCTGCCCCTTCCCCACCCCTCCCAGGTGTGTATTCCTGCTACTGCGAACCCCAGATCTCCCCTCAGTGCAAGCAGAACACCTGGTATGTGTCCCTCATGACTGCGGGCCAAACAATAGCTGAGTTTGCTGCCATTGCTTAGCACCAGGAGAGATGATCAGAGACAGGTGTGGTGGTACAGGCCTGAAATACCAGTTTTAGGGAGGTAGAAACAGTAGGATCAGGAGTTCAAGGCCATCCTCAGTGCCCAGGAAGTTTGAAGTCAACCTGGACTACATGAGATAAATCTCAAAAGAAGGAGAAAGAGGAGGAGGAGGAGAAGGCTCTTGGTGGTATAGTGATATAAGGCTGGCTTCATACTCACTCTGTAGCCCAGGCTGGCCCTGAACATCTGTTCTCCTGCCTCAGTCTCCCAAGTGGCTGGAATTATGAATGTGTGCCACTAGGCACAGTTTCCTTAAGAATTTTAAGTCAACATTCATACTACTTCAATTAATGAAAGAACTAGTGTGTTGTTTTTAACAATGGTTCCAATTCTCTGACCTTACCAAGAGGCAGCCTCCTTACCTCCTCCCAGAGGGACTGGGTGGCCCTTGTCATGTGAGGACACGATGTGACCTCCACGTGGGTCACAAAAGGCTGAGTGGCTGAAGGCTGGTGCATGTGGGACACTCACGCTTGAGAAGTCAGCTGTCACATATGACCACCACCAGAGAGGACATGTGTAGGCACTCCAGCAGCTGGTCCAGCTGAGCTCGCGGCTGCCAGCTGTCACGAGGTACCAGCATGGCCATGCAGCCCATTCAGGTCTCCAGATGGACACAGCCCAGCCGGCTCTGACCGCAATGGCACAAGAGACCCCAAGCAAAAGAAGTATGGTGCCACACCCCTGCCTTTCTCTGGTTCCCTACCACAGTGGCTCTGCAGAGTAAATGGCAGCGTTCGGCTGTGGCGCTTCAGGGTCTTTGGGCAGCAGAAATAGCAGCCAGGACAATTAACGACATAACTATGTGGTCCCCAATCTGTAAATGTCCAGGATGGCTTGGGACCCACTGTGGAGGAATCTGTCCAGAGACAGGGCTCCCACGAGCTTCTATGAGTTTCTTCCAACTCCTCTGCCCCAAGTCCTCAGTAGTGGTAACACTGAGCTCCTGCTGTATACCTTGCCTGGGAGGCAACTCCAGTCTTGCTAAGAGAGACATCATAGAGTTGGGGAAGGTGCATGGATGAAGCTAACCAGTCCCAAATACAGTATACAGCAGGTGCTCAATCATGCTTCTGCAATGAATCAGACCCCAGGCAGCAGTGCTGGGTACTCATTTGTTCAAAATCCTGGTGTTAAGCTCTTTTGTCCCATATCCCAGAAATAGGACAGACATATGGTTTCCAGTATGTGCAGGGAGCCTACAAGGCCACATTGCCTGGGAAGCTTGCAGGTCTTATAATGATTGAAGTTATGCACTTACTGCATACCAAACACTGTGCTAAATGCTTGAGAGGCACATCTCAAAGTCAGGGGGTGATGTGGCTGTGCTCTCAGAGCAAAATCAGCTGCAGGAAGGAAAGGAAACAGTACTGGGACCTGGACTGTGTGAGCCCAGCTTCCTCACCATCTCTTCCTCCTTCCTGGAATATCACGGTCCAGCAGAGGGGAGGATGCTGCTGATGGGGCGACTGTGGGAGCAGAGGCAGGACGCTGTCTCCTAGGCCAGAACATCACAAGGGCAAGGTGAGGAGGAGGGAAGTCAAGAGGAGGTGGGGGGAGGGGAGAGGGAGAGGAGGGAGATTATAGGGAAGACTGGAGGGAGGAGGAGGACATGGAAGGAAGAAGGGGGTGGAGAAAAGGAGGGAGAAGAGAAGGATGGAGGGAAAAGGAGGATGTATCATTTTCAGAGGAAGCTAGCTCCCTTTAAAGGTATTTCAGTTTGCAAAACACTTTGCAGAGGGCTGGCTTAGTTGCTGTGGCCTGGGCAGGCTTTGGTGACAACAGGACTATACAGCATAAGCTCTGCGGGTTGCCTGAGACACAAGGTCCAGCTTAAGCACGAGGCTCACAAGTCCCTTGGAACAGGTTACAGGGAACTCCGCTGCACCCCCTCCTGTGACTTAGCTGAGCCTTCTCTGCTGTGGCTGGAGCACCCTCCTGGATGAGGACTAAGAAGGGCAAAGGTCTTTTTTTTTTTTTTTTTTTTTTTTTTTTGGTTTTTCGAGACAGAGTTTCTCTGTATTGTTTTGGAGCCTGTCCTGGAACTCGCTCGGTAGACCAGGCTGGTCTCGAACTCACAGAGATCCACCTACCTCTGCCTCCTGAGTGCTGGGATTAAAGGCATGTGCCACCACCGCCCGGCGGCAAAGGTCTTCTTAAGGCCACTCTATAAGAGGGGTGACATAGAACTCCAGGCTGGGTTCCACTCCTGACTAGCTTCTGGGTGGCACCTCAGCTCCCATCTGCGGATCACATGAAGAGAGACAAACGTGTTAAATCAAAAGTTGGGCAGCCCCCATTTCAAGGGGGTTGGTCATCCATGGCTTCCTCCATCTTGAGTCTCAACAGCAAGAAATAGGGTCCCTTGATGCTTCTGTGGGAGCCTGGAAAATGAGAACATGGGGAAAGGGCAATGTGGATGGCTCTGGAAAGTTTGGAGAGGTCATGTGGGAGAGAGTGGACAGCCAGGTGCTGGAATGAGCACTGTAAATGGAGTTAGAAGCCAGGTGTCCAGCATGAGGCAGCATCCTTCCTCTGGGACCTGACATTCATCAGATCCAGGAGTGACCAACCTGCAGGGGAGTGTGTGGGACAAATAGGGACGCAGAGGAAGGTATAATGCGGATGGGACTATTGGGAAAACAGGAGGGTATGTGGGGCCTGGAGGTGGGGGGGGCGTGGGCAGGAAAGTGATCCGGCTTGACTGGACTGTATCCTGAGGAGAAACTGATATCTGGGAGGCTATTGGATATATGGTTTCCAGTGCGTGCAGGAAGCCTACAAGGACACACCCTCTGGGAAGCTTGTGGGAAAGATAGGAGACGCCATGGAGAGACCAGGAGGATAGGATGTTCTCCGATCTTTCCCAGATGTTCATTACAATGTAAACCAATTGAAATTCAACTCGTAGTCAAAAGGAGCCCTTGACTCTTGAGGGTGTGGCTGTGGACTTCACCTCAGGAGAGTGGGCTTTGTGGATTCAAGTCAAAAGAAGCTCTACAGAGTTGTGATGAAGGAAACCTTTATGAACTTGATCTCCATAGAGAAAACACAAGAAGAAAATTTTGAAGAGGACTACCAGAATCTCAGGAGAAATATGTGGACTCACGTGGTTGAGAAAGATGGTGAGGGTGAACATGAGAATCAGTGGGAAAAAACCCAGCAGCAGATTCCAGCACAATTGTTAATGAGGACATGTCTCCTGCTATAACATTTTATCAAAGCAGTTTGTGTGTAAGAAACATCATTGATAATTTACCCTCAGAAGTACAGCTCAGTGATCAAACTAAAGAGAAACTATTTGAGTATAAAGAACCTGTGGAGAAGGCTTTTAAACATGAGAAATGTTGGGAAGATGTGGGCCATTTCAGGTACATGAAAGTTCTAGAGAGAAATCCTATGAAAATCAATGCAGTACAGCTTGTGGGAGTCTCCATTATGATCAACATCAGGAGAGAGCTTACACTGGAAATAAGCACAATGAGAATGCCTTTACACCCAATGGCCAGACAGATGGAAGAATCTATGCTGAAGTAAAACCATTCGCGTGTAAGTAGTGTGGAGAAGCCTTTGTTAAGTCACCTTATCAGTCATGAGCAAATTCATATTGTAGAGAAATGTTATATTTGCAAACAATGTGGGAAAACATTTAGATACTTGTCATGCTTTCAAAAACATGAAAGCATTCAGTGGAAAGCCTCATGCATGTGAGCAATGTGGGAAAGGATTTATTCAGTCGAAAAACCTTCTCATGCACCAAAGAGTTCACACTGGAGAGAATCCTTATGAATGTAAACATTGTGAAAGAGTCTTCACTATTTCCAGGTCTGGTCATGTTCATGAAAAACATTCACTGTGGAGAGAAGCCATATTTATGTAAGTATTGTGGAAAAGCTTTCACTAGTCCCAGTGACTAATAGTTGTGAAAGGATTCACACTGGAGAGAATCCCTTAGTATGTAAAAAATGTGGGAAAGCATCCAAACATTTGAGTCATTTTATGAATCATGAAAGAATTCACACTGGAGAGAAGCTTTATGCATGTAAACACTGTGGAAGATCCTTCACCAGTTCCAGTGACCGTAACAGTCACGAAAGAATACAGAGAAACCCTGTCTCAAAAAATGAAAAAATAAAAGTAAAAGAAATAGAGTAATAAATAAAAACTCACGTAAAGATGGAAAATACACAGAGAGTCTGGATACTGTATATTATTGTGTTGCCCTTGAATTATTTGACTGCTGAGGAAGGAGCAACAGCTGCTAACAGACATTTGATGATAAATGCTGCTGGATTAATCCAACCTATATATTTTGAAAATGCCTTGAATTCTAAATTTAAGTATAAGAACATGTTATGTTGGAAAACAGATTTTGTTTTTGTTTCCACAGAAGATGAAAAGGTGTGGATTCCTTCTAGACTAATATGGCTTGATCAAGCAAGATCCCCTGGAACAGTGGCCCAGGTGATCCAACATCCAAAAGAGCTGAGTTGATATAGCCTCGCATACTAGAATATTCAGAATTTGGTCAGGTTTCTGGGTTTTCTCAGGATCCCCATGGAATTGACAGCAACCCCAAACTGTAGGAAGCAGTTTGGAGAGACTGATGCCTAGGTTCCCAAGTATTGTTTACAAATGTTTGTCTTCATTTAAATGGGGTTGGTTATAATGGTTAATAAACACAGGCAATCTCTTTCCAAAAAAAAAAACCACAACAACAACAACAACCAGGGAATATGATATAGAAATGAATACTTTTTATTTAGACAGAAAAGAGGAGATGATGGGGGATGTCCTTCTGTATATAGGTTTCTCTTATTGGTCAATGAATAAAACACTGGCCAATAGCCAGCAGAGGCAGTAAGATAGGCGGGGCTAGGAGATGAGGAGAATTCTGGGAAAGGTAGGTAGAAAAAGACGCCATGTAGCCCCCAAAAGAGAAACAGGTCCAGACACTCTCCAGTAAGCCAAGACCACGTGGAAATACATAGAATTACAGAAATGGGTTAATAATTAAGACAGAGCCGGGCGGTGGTGGCGCACGCCTTTAATCCCAGCACTCGGGAGGCAGAGGCAGGCGGATCTCTGTGAGTTCGAGGCCGGGCTGGACCAACAGCCTCCAAAACAATACAGAGAAACCCTGCCTCGAAAAAAAACAAAATAATAATAATAATAATAATAATAATAATAATAATAATTAAGACAGAGCTAGCAAATAAGAAGCCCTAGTCTTTGGCCGACACTTTAGTAATTAATATAAGTCTCTGTGTGTTTAGGGCTGAAGCAGCAGGGCCTGGCTACAAGTAACTCCAGCAACAAAAAATGACATCTGTGAGGATCCTGGATATATGGTTTCCAGTGCATGCAGGAGTCTAGACACAAGGGTACACCCTCTGGGAAGCTTCTACAGATCTTACAATGATTGAAATTATGTACTTACTGCATACCAGACGCTGTGCTAAGCACGTGAAAGCTCCATCTCAAAGCCAGGGGGTGGTGCCTCTGTGATCTCAGGGGGCAGAAAAAGACTTTGACATTTATTCTAAAGACAGCAGAGCCACTGGCGTCATCTGAGTGCAGACACATGAGTGAGTGAATGTGTGAAGCCAATGCCCCTTTGGGAAACTTACTACCCCTTGACCTCTTGAGGGCTCAGCTGCCAGACCAGGAGAATGGAAGAACACATTAGAGATGACAAATCCTATTTGTGATACCTATAATTCCTTCCAAATGTGTGTCCACAGCAGACATCACTAGCTGATCCTTGCTCTTGCCCCTGCCAGACTCTACCAATCGAATAACAAGGCCTGGAGGATGGTGCTGATTGGAAGTGATGATCAAGGCAGCAGCCCTCTTCCCTGCACAGAAGAGCTCATATCCCACTCACCTGGATTTTGTTCACCACTCCAGGCATCCATTGCTAGTTGCAGTCCTCCGAGGAGGGAAACTAAGGCCTAACCCCTCCAGGCCCAGCCCCTGCCAGGCCCAGAACCTCCCAGGCCCAGCCCCTCCAGCACTCAGGCCCTGACACCAATTCTCAGTTGAATCTCAGTGCTCTCCAGTCCAGTGAAGGAGGTGGGGGCACATCCAGTCCTGCCACCACTCCTGAAGCTGCTGGGGCTTCCCTGCTGCCCCTGGCCACAGCCCTGGTGGTCCCAGACACAGAGCGCAAGAAGCTTTGGGAGTTGTTGGCACAGGACAGACGCCCAGTTAGTTAGAAAAACATGTGGCTCACTCTTCCCTCTCCCGCCCCCTCCAGCCGCCACCACCTTCTAATTCAATTTCCCTTGAAAAACAATGGTTTCAATGAAGGGGGAAACAAGATTTTCCGAAACTTCGTAAAGTTTTGCAAAATAATTACCCCCCAAACTGGCAGGCTTCCTCCCTTTCCTGCTCAATGCATGTCTCTGGGACATTTCACAGGCTTTCACAGGCTGGACATGCCTCTGTCTCCAAGCTGCCCACCCAGGTCCCATGCTGGC